TTACAGCGACAGAAGTATTTTCAATGCAGTCTCTTGTAACGAAGGTTATGACTAATTATTAACTACGCCTCCGTGTATTATTGAACAGCTCACATAACGAGTTTGGCCTACCTACCCTAGAGTAAGCAATCGAGGATGGACAAGCAGGTTAGTACGGTTACTGTCATGAAATTCAAAGGTAATCAGAAGCAGTTTGAACATAATGCCCAAATCGATTCAATGTTCCCGAAAACAAAGATGTGACTAATTTGATTTTCGAAGGCAAAGAATGCCAAGAGTTGATCCGAATAGCCGATAAGAGTGCCGACGGTTGGACAGTAGTGGACGAGTATGCCTCTGATGAATTGGCCTCCGGTTCCGAGGAACAGTTGAAGAAGGCTAAGGACGCGGCGAAACGTAAACGAAGGCAAGCCATGCAAGGTCACCACGGGCCAGAAAAGAGAACTAAGACCTCCCTCTCGTCAACAGATCAGCAGCTTTTTTGCGGTGAGCCTACGTTTAGCATTGTCAGCATTTGTTTTTGTGCTTCTTCCAATTGCTGCTTTTCATGTGACGCCATCATTTTCCAAAATCCTACTGAAAACCTAGTTTCATCAAATGTAAGACTCTCTAATAACTTGGCGTTTCACCACGTTTAAGCTCGACAGCCAGTGTTCTTCATTTTTAGAGTGCGTTTTATTTTCCAAGTTTATGCGTTGCGTGACATCAAATAGGCTCTTGTGAAGGTCAATAAAATGAGTCCCCGCGTAAGTTTTCGCTAACTGAACAGTTCTTGCTTTAGAAGAGGTGTTAATTTCAATGTGTCGGCGCTCTAGAGCAATAACTTTTCGCTTAAATAGCAAAATTCAGTGACAGATGTTTCTGTTACTTTACGGCCCCCATGTTTTTGTCCCTACGAGGGACACCAACATGGCGACTCCGCACAAAGCTCTATAAACCCTTCTCCAAATTACGCGCGAATGAAAAACCGCACAGACCTCAATCTTGGCGAGCTTGTTTATATAACAATCATCTATCATATCCCAGATTCTTGAGTAATTTATTGAATTGTTACGATTTTTATTTTTGATGGCGTGACAGTCCAAACCAGCAACATTGCTTGTTTTCTGTTGTTTCTTTTGGTTGGGGTACTTTGTTTGTTCTCTATTCTTTAGGGTCCGCGTGCGATCCACCCATGCTTCGTTGTACCTGTTTTTGTGGATATTTAACAATGATTTCCAGTCCATACTGCACAGTCTCAGCACGTTAATGTTTATTAAACATTTTAAATCTCATTCGATGGAGTGCCAATCGATGTTATTTGTTACAAACCACATACTTTATCTTTTAGGCCTTTCAAATTCTTTTTCCAACTGTTTCATTGATTTTTACAGCTACGAAGTAGTTTTATCAAGTGATAGGAGAAAGAACGAAGCATAAAGCTTTGATTACTTCACATCCTTATAGCAGTAAGTTTGAAGTTGACTTTTGATGTTTTTAGTGGTCTCTTTATCTTTCCCGAGTGCTCCCTGGCGTATGGAAAACGTTTTTCCTGCAAGGAGATTTGTAATTAAATTTATTCAACTGCAATCATAAATTAACACTGTTTGCTACATTGTACTTTCTTAATCCAATGTCATTGATCAGTTTTGGCTTATGTTTTGACATGCACGAAAACCTTTTGAAACGAGCACCATTTAGAATCCTATTGCCATCTGGGAGCAGGAAACCCACGTCAAGACCAAAAGGTTATAGTCAATAAGACCATGTTTTTGAGTTTTTTCTCGTAATCATGCTGGATAAAAGAAGTGAAGCCTTGGAGCCGACTGGCTCATAGCTGCGACAGCTTAACCCGGTTTCTGTAGCATGAAGCGGCTAGGAGTATTTCTACTCCCCCTGGACGGGATACTAGTCCATCACAGGTCACTCCCCCACAATTTGTTAGGTTTCCCCAACAATTCGCCGGTACCTATTTATACTCCTGGGTGGAGAGAGGCACTGTGAGAGTTAAGTGTCTTGCCCAAGGTTCTGGATAAGGCATGTCATCATACATTAGGTGAACCTTTTTAGTGCATTGTTATAGTACATGAGGTTAATAAAGTTTGTTTCTATATACTTCCAAGAATTATTGTAGTTGAACTGTAAATGTGCTTTAAGTTTCCTTACTCAGAGGAGATGTGAATTTCCACATAGTTTAATTTAACCCTCAGACGTAAATGAGGGGTTGTGTCCCATAAGGTTTTTCAAAGTTTTGAAAAGGCGATTTACTCTAAGAAGCTGAAACGTTCAGTAGCTGTTCAATCATCCTTCACAAAAATTTTGACATGTCAATAATTGTGTGTCCATCATTTTTGGCATTGCCATGGCAACTGCAAATTCCAAGTAGCTTTGGCCAAAAATTAACTTTTTTTGGACATAATTCTGTATTTTTTCCATTTTCTTTATCAAATTCCAGAAATTCACCAATTTGTACATTTTATAAGCATTCTGGCTTGATTTGGTCTTAATTTCTGTTATTTCTTGACTTCTTAAGAAAATAGTAAAATCCCAAGGTGGTGGATCCAAGATGGTGGGTCAAATGACGTCATTTGATGCTATATGACATCACAAGCAACAAATATGATATCATTTTGTAGAGCAAGCTTGGGGCTATCTAATAAATGACAATATTTTTCGCTGTGCCTTAACAGAACGAAAACCTGAGGGGGATGGGTCCATCCACCCCCTTTTTGTACCACTNCCCTCAGACGTAAATGAGGGGTTGTGCCTCATAAGGTTTTTCAAAGTTTTGAAAAGGCGATTTACTCTAAGAAGCTGAAATGTTCAGTGGCTGTTCAATCATCCTTCGCAAAAATTTTGATATGTCAATAATTGTGTGTCCATCATTTTTGGCATTGCCATGGCAACTGCAAATTCCAAGTAGCTTTGGCCAAAAATTAACTTTTGTGACATAATTCTGCATTTTTTCCATTTTCTTCATCAAATTCCAGAAATTCACCAATTTTTACAATTCATAAGCATTCTGGCTTGATTTTGTCGTAATTTCTGTTATTTCTTGACTTCTTAAGAAAATAGTTAACTCCCAAGGTGGCGGATCCAAAATGGTGGGTCAAATGACGTCATTTGACGTCATATGACGTCACAAGCAACAAATATGGTATCATTTTTGTAGGGCAAGCTTGGGGCTATCTAATTAATGAAAATATTTTTCGCTGTGCCTCAACAGAACGAAAACCCGAGGGACAAGGGGTCCATCCACCCCCTTTTTGTACCACTGTGGGGGGGGGGATGAGTTAGCTTGTACGTCCGAGGCTTTAACCTTAATGATTATTGTTATATTTCTTAGATTTCAGAAGAATCAAGACCAAAGGCAAGAAAAGAAAATTAGATTCAGCTGAGGTTTCCATGCAACAAGCTTGTAAGAGCATTCTTGTCACCGGTCTTTCAGATAACACTACCCATGATGCCATCCAACTGCAATTTGAAAGTCGAAGAAATAGTGGGGGTCCTGTGAAAAGGGTGCAATTTGTAGCCAAAAGTGGTAGAGATATAGTTGTGTTTCAAGACCCAGGAGGTTTGTAACTCATTTGTAGCTGCAGTTAGTAGTCAGCTTGCTTCAGACGAAGAAGTTCAAAACTATATATAGTGCTTGTTCAGCAAATGTTGCATCATTTACCCAAAATTTTGGATGTCTGCCATGAGGGCGTAGCTAGGGGGGTGTTGGGGTGCCCGTGACCCCCCCCCCCCCCCCNGAGGTTTGGGGTTAGGTGTACTTTAAGCAAACAACCTAAAACACGGCATGGAGGTCGACATGACAATCTGGTGAGTACCCTCACTTTGGCACAATGTGACCCCCTTTTTGAAAAATCCTGGCTACGCCCTCGGTTCCGAGTGCCGTTATTTCAAACGACTAAAACCCCAAGTGAACGACAAGGAAAAAAGAAACTATATGTTGAGGGTCGCAAAGTGAGAGCGGAGTATCGAAATAGTCTGGAAACAACACAAGGAATTTGGTATCTCTAAATAGAGAACATAGATCTTAAACCCACTCATATTATATAGATATTTTTCTGATTCAGAACTAGTGAGGGTTGCAACCTACCATACAGTACAGTGCAATACAATGCGATACACTGCACAGCAACTTTATTTCTATGCAAACTACACTTTAAACTATGAAAAAAACGATGGGTTAGCACTCTTTAACCGATTACATTCAACTGATTTGGTTCAGCTTTGTATTCCCAGTTGATTGCTTTCCTTAGCTCTTATTATCCGAGCAGGAGGTCTGTATGGGAGAATCTTGACCGAGGTCGTGTGTACAGACCGAACGCAGTGAGGTCTGTACACACGATATCAGTCAAGATTCTCCCATACAGACCGACTAAGCTTTCATTATCGATTTCAATATCGATTTTTTTTTCTATATCAATTTCAGCCAATCAAACCAGAAGTGTAGCAGCTCTCATAATCTTGTAATTCTCTTCATTGTCAGCAGCTGTTATTGTTTTAGGGCTAGGGGCATTGTTTCTGTTGTTTGTTCTATTGTTCTCTCAAAGGGTATCAAACTATTCATGTGAGACCTTACGAGAGCTGCTACATCACCCAATCAAATTCGTGAATTCGGTAGTTCCCAGTTCTTGTGAGACACAGCCATATAATAAATACTCTTATTATCTGTCTTGATGCCTAAGGAGAAATAAGATGTTGATCATACTCGGAATGAGTACTATATTTAGACCGAGGACTATATTTAGACCGAGGGGTGGAGGGAGGGGGGCATTTGCGGCCCTCGCCCTGTAAAAGAGTTACAAGGCTATCACGATGAAATTTAGAGGATTTAACGTGGGTTCAAAAGTATTTCTTTTCATGTCCAGAACATTGAATGCACCAGCAAAATTGGCTCAAAATAAAGTAGTCAAATAGAACAAATAGACAAATAGAAAGACAAATCGAAAGCTAAATTTCCTTACAAACGGTATATGTTACCGGAAGAAAGTTAAAGAATTATGCATTAAAATCAGGAAAACGCACTAGACATTAAAAGAAAGTTCTTCAATTTCATGTAATATATCAAACACGAGAGACAGTGTTTCATCGGGAAATCCAAGCACCGAGAAGGGAGTTGAAAATACGACGCGCAGCGGAATATTCTTGACGAAATTCGAGGTGTTTGGATAGCCGATGAAACACTGTCTCGAGTGTTTGAGATATCTTCTCAATCAAAACAAAAACAAGGGAGTGAACGGAGAAGTAAAATCGTCAAAATCTATGCTAATCAAGAGCGGGTCTTCAAACCTTCGTGGTTGTGATTTTCTTTGTTTTAGCTTGATGAATTGTTGATGAGTTTGAGAAGGAACATTGAAACATCGAACCAATTTGGTTCTAGATAAATCCAAGGAAAAAGCTACCAAATTTGCCACAACGCGTCTCTAGTTACAAGCGTTGAAAGTTGGTAAAGGGTATCAAAAGACGCCTCTCTTCCTCCCCTCTCTGACCTTGGCTTATATCGGCTTACCTTTTTCTAATCCTAATTTTCCTAATTATTTTCTTTTCGTTATGTTTACAGATATGGAAAAAGTTTTAGCCAGACGTGAAGAAAAATCACATGCCTNGGGTAGCAAAGTGGGAGCGGAATATCGCAATAGTCTGGAAACAACATAAGGAATTTGGTATCTCTAAATAGAGAACATTGATGTTAACCCCACACATATTATATAGATATTTTTCTCATTCAGAACTAGCGAGGGTTGCAACCTACAATACAGTGCAGTGCAATAGAATGGGATACACTAGACAGCAACTTTATTTCTGTGCAAACTACACTTTAAACTGTGAAAAAAACGATGGGTTAGCACTCTTTAATTGATTACATTCAAATGATTTGGTTCAGCTTTGTATTCCCAGTTGATTGCTTTCCTTAGCTCTTATTATCCAAGCAGGAGGTCTGTATGGGAGAATCTTGACTGAGGTCGTGTGTACAGACAGAACGCAGTGACGTCTGTACACACGACCTCGGTCAAGATTCTCCCATACAGATCGACTAAGGGTTAAATACCCTTATTATCTGTCTTGATGTCCTAAGGAGAAATAACATGTTGATCATACTCGGAATGAATTGGTTCTAATGTTGTCACGTTGTTGGTTGTACCTTTTCTGACTATTTTGGACTATATTTAGACCGAGGGGTGGAGGGAGGGGTGCATTTGTGGCCCTCGCCCTGTAAACGAGTTACAAGGCTATGACGATGAAATTTAGAGGATTTAACGTGGGTTCAAAAATATTTCCTTTTATCTCCAGAACATTGAATGCACCAGCAAAATTGGCTCAAAATAAAGTAGTCAAATAAAACAAACAGACAAATAGAAAGACAAATCGAAAGCTAAATTTCCTTACAAACGGTATATGTTACCGGAAGAAATCTAGAGAATTATGCGTTAACATCAGGAAAACTCGCTAGACATGAAAAGAAAGTTCGTCAATTTCATGTAATATATCAAACACGAGAGACAGTGTTTCATCGGGAAATCCAAACACCGTGAAGGGAGTTGAAAATACGACGCGCAGCGGAATATTCTTGACGAAATTCGAGGTGTTTGGATAGCCAATGAAATACTATCTCGAGTGTTTGATATATCTTCTCAATCAAAACAAAACAAAGGAGTAAACGGAAAAGTAAAATCGTCAAAAATCTATGCTAATCAAGACCGGGTCTCCAAACCTCCTTCATGGTTGTGACTTTCTTTGTTTTAACTTGATGAATTGTTGATGAGTTTAAGAAGGAAGATTGAAACATCGAACCAATTTGGTCCTGGATAAATCCAAGGAAAAAGCTACCAAATTTGCCACAACGCTTCTCTAGTTACAAGCGTTGAAAGTTGGTAAAGGGTATCAAAAGACGCCTCTCTTCCTCCCCTCTCTGACCTTGGCTTATATCGGCTTACCTTTTTCTAATCCTAATTTTCCTAATTATTTTCTTTTCGTTATGTTTACAGATATGGAAAAAGTTTTAGCCAGACGTGAAGAAAAATCACATGCCTTAAATCAAGCGCAACTGTCAATGGGAATTTGTCATGAGTTTCTAGAAAGTGAGGAAGTCGACGTGCTA